AACGGGCCTTATTCCATCTTTACCTTTCGTACCTGTCTGCTGCAAGCATTTGCGTGCCGAATAAAAGCTTGACCGAATCACCTGAATGTGTGACGTCACCAATCATCACTTGATACGAGTGCACTTAGGCCCCACGGCCGCGGTGTATCATGTTCCGTGAAATATCACCGGGTATCGTGACGTCAGTGATATTCGACTAAATATTGGTCGCAACAGGTCAAGGTTCATTTTTAGCTTCGTACCTGTCTACTGCAAGCACTGGCGTGATGAATAAAAGCTACCAAATCACGTGAGTGTGTGACGTCACTGGTCATGCATTTTTATTGATCTTTGGGGGCCAACTGAGGGCCGTAAAGCATAACCTAATGATGTGACGTCACTGGCATTCGACTGTGTGTGATGTCACTTGTGATCAGATTTTACGGCCTCTTTTGGGCCGACGAAAGGTCATACGACATTAACTGAAGATGTGCCGTCACTGGTATCCGAATACAATTCAGGCGGCCATGGCCATGCTCCATCTTTACCTTTGGTACCTGTCCATTGCAAGTATTTGAATGCTGAAGGAAGGGTTTGCCGAATTACCTGAGTGTGTAACGTCACTAACCATTAATTTGTATAGACTGTTTTGAACCCACTGTAAGCCATACCACATCAGCTGACCATATGACGTCACCGGTTTTCGTCTAGGTGTCATGCGCAACAGGCCATGCTCTATCTTTGCCTTTCGTACCTGTTTACTGCAAGCATTCGCGTGCTATATCAAGGTGATGCTGAACCATCTGAGTGCGTGACGTCACTGGTCATGAGTTTATACAGGTTCACTTGGGCAGCCCAATGCAACAAAGCATCATATCCTGTAAAGCATCGCGGGATGATATGACGTCACTGGTATTCGACTCAACATCAGGCGCAACAGGCGATGTTCCATCTTTACCTTTCGTACCTGTCTACTGCAAGCATTCGCGTGTTATATCACGTCATTGGTTAAGAGTTCTTACGGGCTCTTTTCAACCCCCTATATGGTATAATGCTTCAGTTGACGATATGATGTCACTGGTGTTCGACTTAACATCAGGCACAACATGTCATTTTCCATCTTTGCGTTTCGCACCTGTTAAAGTATTGGCGAGCCTAATGATGGCTCTGCCAAATCACCTGAGTGCGTCATCATGAGTTTTTACAGGCTATTGTTGGCCGAGTGAAAGCCATTAGGCATCATCTAACGATATGTCGTCACTGGTAATCCACTAAGTGTGTGACGCCATTGGTCATGAGTTTTCCCGCGCCTTTTTGGGCCGACTTAAGGCCATTTGGCATCAGGTAACGATATGACGTCACTGGTATTCAATTAAGCATCAGATACAATATGTCATGTTTCATCTTTACCTTCCGCACCTATCTACTGCAAGTATTCGCGCGCCACATAAAGGCTCTGCCCAATCACCTGAGCGTGTGGTGTGACTGGTTATGAGTTTACGCGGGTTTACCCGGGCTGACTGAAGGACATCAAGCATCATCTGGCGATGTGACGTCACTGGTATTCAACTTAACACCAGGCGCGACAGGCCATGTTCGTCTTTACCTTTCGTACCTGTCTATTGTAAGCATTGACATGCTTAAGGAAAGCTCTGTGAAATCTCCTGAGTGTGTAATGCCACTGGTCATGAGTTCTTTACGGGCTGCTTTTTTGTACCTATAGGGTACAAGACATCAGTTGACGATATGACATCACTGGTATTTGACTTAATCTCAGGCGCAACAGGCCATGTTCCATCTTTGCCTTTCGCACCTCTATACTGCAAGTATTCGCGCGCTACATAAAGGCCCTGCCGAATCACCTGAGCATGTGGTGTAACTGGTCATGAGTTTACGCGAGCTTACTCGGGCTGACTGAAGGACATCAAGCATCACCTGACCATATGACGTCACTGATATTCGGGCTGTGGCCCAGACTTATGGCCGCTAGGCGGCGCCCTTGATTATTATTTAGCCATCAGGGCATTCCGGACCGTAGCTGCTCAGGGGCGCATTCTGTGATGTCGGGCGGAATAGCTTTGCATATACGTCGGTTTGTGGGCTGGGATCACCTTTGTTTTGTGTTTACTTTTGTTCAAAATTTTAGTCGTTGAAACAGCCCGTTGCGTTTGAAGTTGTTACTTAATGGTGCGCACAATAAAATGAGTGTGCTTAACTATGGTGCATCTCCCACCTCTGCTGCGGAACTCCGTAGCCGTAGGTGGCCAAGTGACCTCCTACCAACTGATGATCAGTGACGTCACATACTCAGGTGATTCGGCGGAGCCTTCATATAGCACGCGAATATTTGCAGCAGCCAGGTACGAAAGGCAAATATGGAGCATGACCTGTTGCGCCTGATGTTTAGTCGAGCACCAGTAACGTCATGTCGTCAGCTGATGCATTTTAACCCAAAATGGGTTCAAAGGAGCCCGTAAAAAACTCGTGACCAGTGACGTCACACACTCAGGAGATTCGACGGAGCCTTCATTCAGCACGTCAATACCTTTAATAAACAAGTACAAAAGGTAAAGAAAGTACGTGGCATGTTGGACCTGATGTTAAGTCGAATAACAGTGACGACGTATCATCCTGTGATGCTTCACGGGAGGTGTTGCTTTGTGGCCTTGGGCGGCCCAAGTGAATCCGTATGAACTCATGACCAGCGACGTCACCCACTCAGATGATTCGTCTGGAGTTTAGTCGATTACCAGTGACGTCATGTCGTCAGCTGATGCTTGATGTCCGTCAGTCAGCCCGAGTAAACCTGCACAAACTCATGGCCAGTTACACCACACGCTCAGGCGAATCGACAGAGCCTTTTTGTAGCGCACGAATACTTGCAGTAGGCAGGTGCGAAAGGTAAAGATGAAACATGGCTTATTGCAACTGATTCGAATACAAGTGACGCCATAACGTTATCTGATGCCTAATGACCTGAACTCGGCCAAAAAAGGCCCGTAAAAGCTCATGACCAGTGACGTCACACACTCAGTGGATTACCAGTGACGTCATTTCGTTAGCTGATGCCTTATGGCTTTCGCTCAGCCAAAAATAGTTGGTAAAAATAATGACCGGTGACGTCGCACACTCAGGTGACTCGGCAGAGCCATCATTTAACGCACCAATACTTTACAGGTACGAAAGGCAAAGATGGAACATGACCTGTTACGCCTCATGTTAAGTCGAACACCATTGACATCATGTCGCCAACTGATGCATTTTTCCCTATAGAGGGTTCCAAGGAGCCAGAAAAAACTCATAACCAGTAACGTTACACACCCAGGAGACTCGACAGAGCCTTCATTCAGCACGTCAATACTTGTAATAGACGGGTACGAAAGGTAAAGATAGAACATGGCCTGTCGCGCCTGATGTTAAGTCGGACACCAGTGGCGTCATATCATCAGCTGATGCATTATACCGTTTTGGGGTACAAAAGGTCCCGTAAAAAGCTCTTGACCAGTGACGTTACTTACTCAGGAGACTCGACAGAGCCTTCATTCAGCACGCCCATACTTCCAAGAGACAGGTACGAAAGGTAAAGATGGAACATGGCCTGTCGCGCCTGGAGTTTAGTCGAATACCAGTGACGTCATATCGTCAGCTGATGCTTGATGTCCTTCATTCAGCCAGAGTAAACCCGCGTTAACTCATAACTAGTTACCCCACACGCTCAGGTAATTCGGCAGAGCCCCTGTGTCGCGCGAATACTTGCAGTAAATAGGTGCGAAAGGTACAGACGAAACATGGCTTAGATGGAGCATGGCCTGTTGCGCATGATGTCTAGTCGAAACCCAGTGACATCATATCGTCAGCTGATGCCTTGTGGCCTGTAGTAGGCTCAAAAGAGTGTGCAAATTAATGGTCAGTGACGTACACACTCAGGTAATTTGGCAGAGCCTTCCACGGCAATGCTTGCAATGGACAGGTACCAAAGATAAAGGTGGAACATGGTCTGTCGCGCCCGAAGTTCATTCGAATACCAGTGGCGTCACATTTTCAGTCATTGCCGTATGACCTTTCGTCGGCCCAAAAGAGGCCGTAAAAACTCATGACCAGCGACACGCACAGTCGAGTGCCAGCGACGTCACATCGTTAGCTGATGCTTTATGGTCTTTGGTTGGCCGCACAAAAAATCCGCCAATACTTGCAGCAGACATGTACGAAAGGTATAAATGGAGCATGACCTGTTGCCTGAAGTTCAGCCAAATACCAGTGACGTCATATCGCCAGCTGATGCCTAACGGCATTTCGTCGGTCCTATAGGGCCCGTGGAAACCCACGGCCATTGACGTCTTACAGTCGTATAGCAGTGACGTCGCTAGCTGACACCTTGTGGTCTTCAGTTGGCCGAAAAGCACCGTTGGAACTCATGGCCAGTGATGTCACACACTCAGGTGGTTCGGCAGCTTTCATCCAGCACGCCAATGCTTGCTGTAGCTAAGTACAAAGGTAAAAATGAAGCGCGGCCTGTTGCGCCCAGTATTTATTCGAATACCAGTGACGTCACGCTATCCGGTGATACTTCGCGGACCACGACACACCGTGGTCGTGGGGCCTAAGTGCACTCGTATGAAGTGATGATTAGGGACGTCACACATTGGGGTAATTCGGTCAAACCTTTATGCGGCACGCAAATGCTTGCAGCAGACAGGTACGAAAAGTAAAGATGGAACGAGGCCGGCCGCGCCTGATGTTCAATCGAATACCAGTGACGACACATGGCCAGCTGATGCATTACGGCATTCAGTGGACCCAAAAGAGCCTTACACACTCACGACCAGTGACGTCACATACCCAGCCGAATACCAGTGACATCATATCACAAGCAAAAGCCTTATGGCTTTCAGTCGGCCCGGATGAACCCCGATCCCGATCGATGCAAAACCATTTTCAGTGACGTCACAATGTTAGCTGATGCCTCACAGCTTTTGCCCCGCACGACAATACTCGAAACCCTGCAGCTGGCGTACTCTTCCCTCCGTCGGCCATCCAGGTACCCAAGTAAAAAATTACCGCTTCTAGTATATTACATTGTGGGGCTTTGTGTTGGAAAGTTATTGGTTGGATAGAAACGTGCGAGAGGTGCGATTGGGAATGTTTCTCCACTGTCGGTGTTAATTCAAATCAGTCGCCCTGTGATCACGTGAAGGATTAATGACTCATGAGTGCTAGATGATTCTACAAAAGTGTCTCACAAGTAGGTATCTGGTATGTGGGAAGGGTATGTTAAGATCAAAGTCAAGATATAGTTTTCTTTCAGTTTACAGAAGTTAAGGCTTGGTGGTACCCAGCAAAATGACCTTAGTAGTAGGTACCCTAAATCCACAATTGCTGTCATTGCTGATGCCCTACAGTTGACTTTCCAAGTACTTGCTGTTCACTGCACATGGCTCATTCATGATGCCATGGCCCAGACTGTGATGTTGTACTGATGCATCTGGTGGTCTTCTGTGCCATTGAGTCTGCTGTTGAGGTTTTGACTATATATTATTTTTGTTTCAGGCTCATTTTGCAGGATTTAAACTGCTGAGGCAGGACACTACCCAAGTGGTGACCTCAATATGGAGACGGTACGTCGTGCGCTGTTATTTGTTGCTGCTTTCCAATAATGAATATTTTGGATGTCATGTAGAGATGGCTATGTGTGTGTCAATTCTATTCACCTGGAAAAGTTTTCACATGATCTGACCTGACCACTTGTGTGTCAGCCCCATGAGTTCTTAGAAATGCAATTAAGCTGCAAAACAGATTATGATGCATTGAGAGGCCTCCAATATTCCAGTTAACTGTACTAAATTGATATACATGTTCTAGTATAGTGACCAGCTTGGAATACTGACCTGGCTTTCAGTAGCTTCCATACTTTATAACTTTTGATACCCTACCAAAAGCTGAGAGTTAATGCAGTTTTCATGTGTTACACTGGTAGCACTTTCAAAAAGCAACGAAGATTTCCTGATTTCCCAGGCCACAGGGTTTTCTATATGTGACAAAAAGTGTAATGCGTGAGATCAGTGAGTAGTTATAGCAGGTAATTGGAAATATATTTTAATCTGTCAAGCTGCAGCTGTTTCCAAAGTGCAAATTCAGCTGCTGCAAACCTCATACATGCATGGTATTTATATTTGCATCTCAGATATACAGCATAGCCATAGTGACCTTTGTTTCAAGAGTTTCCTGTACAATTATCACTGTGAGATGAAAAGCAGTGAAATGTTTGTTGGTGTCAGTGTGTAATCATGTGTTTGTAGACTTTGAATTGTTTAAAAACAATCATGGTAATGTCAGTGCTGACATCTGTCATGGGTTGTGGTGCTGTGCTGACTGTAATGCACACTGTTTCAGAGGCACAGGAGGGGATCAAGGCTAGCTCAGTCAACACCCAACTTTATTGACCTGACCTGTGACATTGACTCTGATGGCTCTGAAGATGATGTCCTTTTTGTTGGGGAGGAACTACCTGTTGTTCAAACTGTAAGTATAGGACATGCTTGTTTTGGCTGCTTTACTTTTCCATGCCATTTACCTTGCTACTTTACCTTGCCTTGGTTCATAGGCTGTTGATACAACATGGAACACCATCAATAACTTGGCTTGCCCCTTGTACCTAAAATTATTTTTGGTAATGTGAGCAAGGAACAGCTAAGGTACCTGACAGGAAAAGTGTCAAAAGACCTTGGCCATTTAATTTGATGACTTTTCCACTGTCCCACTGTATATCAATTTTTTGCACTTTATAATGGCTTATGGAAAGTTAAATTCATTGAAGCTTTTGATGGTGTTTTGTTACAAAAGCCTTTGGTCTTCTACAAAAACTAGTCCTGTTTAAAATAAATTAATAAGATACCTTAAATAAATCAAATACTTTGCTTCTGCTTACCACTTATCTGCAGTTAATTGCATATATGTAGGTTCTTATGGAATGACTCAAGCTTGGCTAACACAATTGTGTGAAAACTAATTGCAAGCCTGCTAGGAGCTTGTTTATAGTACTTACGACACTCGATGTTTTTATCCAGGTTGATACTGTTTCTTGATATACAGTGATAGCAGTGGTTGGGGGGCACCTTATTGCACTGTGTATGCATAATTTGCTTGTGCGGCTCTTGCATGCTGATGACGCAGTGTTTTAGCAAAACCAAAGGTGGAACATACTATCACTATTAAATAAACCTTTTGAACATTACAACTTGGTATGCAAGTTCATATGTTATTTTATTTACTGAGCTATTTCCTGAAGTACCATTTTCAGCTGTAACCAGTGACAATGTTATTTACCTTTCAGTCCACCCATCCCAGTGTGTACAATCACATGTGTTGTTAAATCAATCTGCTGTTGTGATGGCAACTTCTTTATACATGCGATTTTCTTGTGATATATGAGGCATTTGCCGCTGGGCAACAGCCAACAGGGGTCATGGAGATGCTGGCGGACCAGCCCGATCCGCAACAGATCACAGCCGCGCCGGCCGCCACCACCGACCATCCTCGCAACGTGGCCGAAGCCGAACTGGAGCGCGATATCTGCGCCCTTACCGTCGAGCTGGACGAGCTGCAAGTGCACGTGAGCGCACAGGACGCTCGGGCGCTGCGGCCCAGCGTGGCGCGGCGCCTGCGCCAGCTACGGCGCGCCTACGACGAGCTGGTGGTTCGCGTGGCGGCGCTGCCGGGCGGCCGCCGGCGCCGCTTCCAGCCGTTTCTGCGGCCGATTTGCGCCGACCTGGACGCCGTGTACCTGATGCAGGTGGTGGCGCAGCACGAGGGTACCGTGCTCGCGGCCGCCGCGCGGCGCGACGCCGGCGGCTCGCGACGCGGCACCGGCTTCGCGCGGACGAGACGCCGCACTAGCGGCGCCGGCCGAAGGGGTGCCGGGGCCCGAGCGGAGCCGGTACCCCCTGACGCCGCCGCTGGAATGGAGACGGCGTCCCCAGACGCCGCCGCTGGAACGGAGACGGCGCCCCCAGGGACCGCGGCTGGAACGGAGCCGGTGCCCTCAGACGCGGTGGCCGCAGCGGAGCCGAAGCAGACTGGCACTCGTGACAAGAGGACCAGTGACGGTGGGTGCGAGTGGGGCTCCGCTGGGAGGACGGCGCGAGATAGTTATTCGTCGGAAAGGCTTGAGGCTGTTGCTCATGCCAACGCACTGATGTGAGATTGATGTTGCGGTCAAAGAGTGAGCACTAAATGCATTAGAAATGACATTGACGCTCTTGGTAGTAGAATTCCATTTTTCGGACTGTGAAAATAATGTGGGCTGGTTTTCCAGGCATGAAATTGACCTGAGCTACATGAGTTTAAGAAGAAAATATGACACTTGATAAGTTTACGACTTGATGGTGAATTCGCTATTGGACTTGGCAACGTATGAATACGCCGATGATGTATGTATTTGTCTTTCCAAGAACTAATGATACCACTGATCACTGCATGGCGCGCTCAAAGTAGGTTGTGTTAGGAATATGACCCTACCTGAACACATGACACCCCCTGAAACGCCTGCGGTGCAAGATAATGTAATCCGAAATCATTGAACCCGTGCCTGCACGTTGGAATCCTTGCGACACGGTGCGTGGTTATCGGGCTGCGGTAGCGGTGCCGTTAAAGCTCGCATTAATCAGAAGTAAAGCGGGACAAGGGATTGGTATCAGATCAGGCGCTCCGTGCCACCTAGACCGTGGTCACCTTTCAACAAAAATACCGTGCAGCCAAACGGGCACGTTATTTTGTGGCCAGCCTGACTCTACGGTGCCTTCTGTGTGAAGTTCGTGCCGCCCTCTTTGTATTAGGATAGACGGCCCGCGCGGGCGGTTGTGTGACGCCGCATCTCTGCCTCAGGCCTGTGCTGTCCCGTCTGCCTGGAGTCGGTGACGAGCTTGAAGGCGCAACAGCGCGGCTTCCTGGTGACCCGCTGCGGACACTGGTTCTGCGCGCCGTGCTTGAAGGGCTCGATCCGCCGCAGCCGCGAGTGTCCCGTCTGCCGCTCCAGGCTGCCTCAGCGCACCGCCTACAACAGCCTGTATCTGTGACCTGCACCTCTCGGCGCAAACACCCGCCTAGCCCTCACGCGTGAACGGGGTGCGCCTCAGCTGGCCATTCTGCTATTCTGGGCGGCGCCAGATGGAGGCTACCACGGCAGTCTCAGGTGTGAATGACTCGTTTTGCTCAGTGATAATGCGGTGAAGTCTCGTTCTTTGCTGGTGCTCTGGTTTTCCTTTTCAACGATTGTTCTGCGGCGTGGATCGCAGAGGGCATCAGGTTTCACACTGACCTTTACTGAAACCGAAATAAGAAGCTTGGCAGGCCGCGTGACAGCGGGTGCACACCTTTGTTAAAAGGCACTGTACGTTTGGGAATGCTCTCTAATCGCGGGTTGACGTTTCGCCATGATCTCCGATTTACATCACAGTATTCCGAAAGTGCGGACAACCGTTTGGGATAGCTTAATTTAGAAGGTGAGGCGCTGGTCGGCCATAAGAGACAGGAATGAACCGGAAGTTAAAACTGGAAATACCAGGTGGTTATGATTGGTGAACTTTGCATGCCTGCCACATGCTCTTTTCGATCCCTTTGTGGCGATGGGGCACGTGAGCCGCAGTGGTGGCTTTCCTGCGATGTATGCGTTGATATTCCTGCCTAGTGTGCTGCCTAGCTCACTGGCGGTGCGTGCGGTGAGTTGCAGTGTTGTCTGAGACGATGAATGCTTGTCCCGTTATGTTGGATTAGGTAATACACGATTTTACTATAACAATATTGTGAATACACACATTGTTCTTTGAAGGGAAATATCACGTGCTGCTCTGTCTCCTCGATAGATGCGTTTCGTACTTTGTTGGTATGCGTCTTTTATATCGTTAAGTGCCGTTGCATTCGAAAGATGATATCGAGAGGCCCATGCTCGACATCTTTTCCGGAATCGATTCTGACTCTGACTCGTGGCGCATGGGTTTTGTTTCAATTCTGACTTCTGAACAGTATGGCACAGGCTAGGGCTTACTTTGGATTCGGACTCGCGGGGATGCAGCTGATTTTGGGAGTCGATCCCGTCGACAGTGCTTCGCCACGCTAACTGCGTCGTGGTATTCATATAGGCCTGAGAAGCAAATGAAAGCGGTTGACAAGACAGTGCGCAATGCAATAACTTACGTTCCACTTCTCACACACGCGTGGGAGCCGTTCAAACAACCTACCATGTGCCACTTGAATTTAGATGTAAGTCGACAGTCAATTCAATGCCGCCGTGGCCAAGGAGTGCCACCGTGCTTGGGCTGGCTTCTCCGACGTCGAACCCGCCAGAGGAGTCCTGAGGCGTCCAGTGTGCGGGCGTGGGCACGCCGGTTTGTGCTTCCCTGACCAGCCTGTCGTATGAGATACCCTCAGCTCCAGGACCTTGTCAATAAACTTCGGCATGGTCTCGCGGGCGTTGAGCGTCGGAAGAGAGGCCCCTTGTAGTATCGGTGGGGCGCATCGGCCAGCAAGTGACGCATGCTGGCCGCAAAGTTATCCCTGGCTTCCAAACGATCGGACAGCGCTGAGGCGACGTAACCGTGCCGCTGTGCCATCGCTCTGCTGACATGCCTCGCCACCCGGTCCCTGTGGACGTTTCCGTCTCTTGTGTTCTTCAACCGTCAGGAAGTGGAACGTACCAGTTCTGGCGACAGCCAAGTGTGGTGCCGCCACAAATGGCAGATCCAGGATGGTGCCTGGTTGGAGCATCGCAGTTTGTGGGCTGCATGCGAAAGTGCGTCCCGATTTTAAAAAAGAGACATCGGGTTTCACTCTTTTTACCTCAACGAGCGTTTTGGCACCAACTTCTCCCAGAAAAACAGCTTAGATTTGCTCCAGGATCTAGATTTGCGCCATTCTTACTGGCTTGGGCTCTTGAAGGGGTCATGCCCCGGTTGCCTTTCCCCTTGGAGCCGCCCTTGTGCCGCCACAAAACGCGGTTGGTGGAATCGCGAGGCGGACTGCAGGCGATAAACCGAAGCCTGAGGTAGCTTGCCAGGTTCTGCTCTCTTCCAGCCCACTTGACCTTCAGCAGTCGATGAGGGGCCCCCCCCCCCCTCCCGACACGCGATAACGTTCTCCACCTGAAGCCCCTGGGCGGAGGTCAATCCCTGCTCATCCATCTTGCTCGGTTGGGCTTTGACTGGCTCTGGCCTTCTCACGAGCCACGTGCGGCTGATGCTCGTGGATGAACATCTTGGCCAGCGATAAAACCATGCGTAGTCCCTGTGTCAAACCAATTTTGCCGCCGAGCTCACCACTGAGTGTGAGTAAGCGGCACCAATCTAATAGTTCTGTGCATAGCTGTAGTGACATTTGGGATGTAGCTTCACAAAACAGGTTCTGGGAGGCCCGTTGCTTGGATTGATCATCTACGTGTCGCAAAATGCGGTTCCCGTCTGATGCTTCCTTGTGTGAAAAAAAATACTGTATTTATCGTTGCAGAAGCCGTCGGTAACTTTTTCATAGCAGTTTTGACGCCCGAATCCTTCTCAGCGAAGTGGCGCAGTTCCGATGAACCAGATTATGTCCGCTTTCTTTTACACTGATGGATCTGGTCACGGTGACCAGGTTGGTGCAGCAGCCGTTGGTCCTCACTTTCGATTCACCGGACGCTTTCCAGACTTCAGCACGATGTTCTCTGCGGAAGTATACGCTATAAATCGAGTGCTGTTGCATATCGGAGTCAGACGTATTCCTCAGACTACGATATGCACATACTCCAAGGCGTCGCTGCAGGCCCTGCAGAGGCTCGGTGATTTCAACCCCGCCGGAGCGTATGACATCCATAATATAATGCCTTCCCTACCTACTGACCGACGTGTGACCTTTCTGTGGATACTGGGACATTGTGGCATCGCGGGAAATGTCTTCGCTGACACTCTTGCAAACGAAGGTGTCCGTCTACCAACGCCTCTGGAAGTGTCTCTGGCACTAGATGTTCTTCATTTAACTGAAGTCCGTTTCGCCCGGTATTTGCAGAATCAGTGGGATGCCTCGCATGCTACTACATGTATCGAATCAAACTCACACTCCAGCCATGAGCGGCGTGTCATCAGGAGAACAGGCAGAGATGTGTGTTTGAGATGTGGCCACACTTGTCTCATCCACAAGCATCTATTCAGTCGCTCTGCACCATCGGTCAGCGGGACTTGGCGCTGCTCTTACTCCGGAACGTCGCAATGTCACGAGTCACTTGTAGCACACCGCCTCCCCCACACCGTCCGAACGCTGCCAGGCGACAACGATCCTGCCTTAACCGACCTTGTCCTGGACTTCGCGATTGAATCGTCATTGGGTACGAAGATCTGATGGGATCTGAGTCTCCACTTTAGCCCTGTGGTACGCACGAATAATGCCGGGAGAAGGCAACGGCCCGGCACCCAACGTAACCAAACTTTTACTCACGGTTTTTCCCACATGTATGCAATAAATTGTTTTCTTTAATGGCGGTCCTTGTTGACCATATTTTCCGTATTGCCTAGTCTATTAAAGCAAAATTGCATATGTGTGGTTTTCCCGTGCTTCCCCTCTCTAACGTGGCCATCGGACTTATTTAGGAAGAGCCGGATTTTGTGCAGGATTAGTTAGGGAGCCCCACTTTCTTTTCTTGGCAAACAGCGTAAGTTGAAGCCACTAAACAAAAATGTGGAGAACGCGTGTGGGGTGTAGAGTGTGTGTATGGATCTTCCTTTGCGGTGGTGATAGGTGTTAAACAAACCAATATTGCAATGCAGTAAAAAGTTATATTGCAATAGTTAATGGGTGGTCCTACAGGAATGAGAGGAAGCGATAAAGCTAATCTTGAGCAGATAGGTATATATATATATATCAACATTTCAAAA